AAGGTAACTGGTATTTTAGTGTTGCTGATGTATCCATTCTTTGCTATATAAATATTCTCTCCGTAGCATTTTTGTACTTGAAAAAGTAATATTAATTTAAAATTAATGGTCTTTTTTATTAATAACCACATATGCAAAAAAAGGAACATCTGCCTTCCAAATGTTATTCAATGATTGTAATTAAAAGGTTAAATAAAAGCTGAGGCAAGCTTTGAATTTTGAAGCATTTGCAACAGCTAGTAGTCTGACTTTCTGCAGACATTTTTGTCAAAGTTGAAAAAGTTAGAGCTAATTAATTTCTTGGGAGACATATGATGAAATTGTAGGTGTGATAACATATTTGAGTAACATATGGTCGTTATGGGGCACCTTTCTAATGACTGAGCACCAAGTTAAATATAGACTTTCCATTTTTTCACTTCTATTAGTGGTTCTTTGTTACTACAATTTAAACTCATTTTCTGTTGTGCGTGGAGTAGGATTCTTTACATGTTTGTAAGAAATCTAAAAAATATTGCCATGACAGTTCTGCACCTTGGTGAAATTTACTGAGAAAGACAGTACATCTGTGACAGCCTTTTGATTTTTGTAGCATTAATTGTAATTATGTGCATTGACATCTACTTTATAATATGTGAAACTTGCCACAAAATGTTTAGTTGTATGTCCCCAAAGTAGAAGCATAAAATATTTTTGAGAGATTGGTAGAAAATGCATGTTGCTCTCCCTATATGTAATATATTGGAATTTACTTTAATCAGCTATTGTACTATATTATTTCATAAAAAGGAGGACAGGTATTTTTGGAACACTTTCTGATTCAGTCTACATAACCCTAAGAAACAGTATTATGTTTCTTGAGAGGCAGTTCTGCTGTTCCTTAGGAAGCTGTAAATAAAGATTGTCAGAGAGTAAACAAGTGTTCTGTTTTGTAATTAAAGTAATCAGAAGCTTTACTTAGTTTTAAGGAATGATCTAGGGCAAATTTCATGCTTTGTTATTTCAGTATCAACAAGCAGAATGAGAAATTCAGGACAGAATAATTTAGTGGTAGTAACATATGAATGAGGAAGGAAATAAAAATGTTTCAGGTGAAAATGAGGAACAAAATGGAAGGAGAAAGGTGGGGTGGTTTTGGGTAGGGATGGGGAAAGTAATGGATGCATGAGAAAGCTGCTGGTTGTGGTGAGAGAAGAAAAGGATGCATGTTGATGGAGGCTAAGTGGCAATTTTATTCTGAGTTGAATAAAAATTGTTTTAAAAGTCATGTTTTTCTGTATTTCATTATGAACTGAAATGCAGGCTGCGGGTTGGCTTCTTTTTTCTTTTTTAATGAAAATTACAGTTAATTTGGTTCCTAAAGGAACTCTATTGCTCATAAATTTTGCCTTCCTGGAGAGGATGCTGGATTATCACAGCATCTGCCTTCAGAGTAGCTGCAGCTTCAGTTTTGAAGCTTTATCATACAGCCTTTACTGTGACTAGAGAGCAAAGAGGGTGTCAAAGGGATTTTAGCTCTTACTGGGAGCATAGTAGCAATTATTATTTGAATGTGGCCATCTATTTCTTACAGGAGAGTGGATGATACTGTGCTGATACTTAGAGAAAATCTCACGGCTGGGAAGGAGCAAATGGGGGGGTTGTGTCTTGATATCTGGGGCATTAGTGGAGAGGAAAAGAGCCTGAGGAAGACAAGACTTCCGCAGTGCCGTGGGTGTGCCCTGTTATGCAGCCAAGACACCCAGCAGCATGCACAATATCCTTTGGGCATTCCTTGCTACAGTGATTACATTTCTCTTTGCCGTCATTTTTGTAAAAAGGAAGCTTTAATATGTTCTTTAGTGTGTGCAGTTTTTGACTAACTATAATGAATTTTGTGAATAAGTTCCTCTTTTGGTGGCAGGAAGTGATGAGTACCTGTTGACAGTACATGTAGAGCGATGGGGTGGGGAGGCAGACTTAACATTCATTCAGTTCACACTTAATATTCAATTTTGCTAATCCTGATGTGCTGTGTGCATGAGACAATTGTATGTTTTTATTTTAGCCTGTTTGCCTACAAGTCGGTGTGCACTCTGTAATTAGAGTGCTCGCATCTGAAATCATCAATGTTATACTTCTAAGGCATGAACTGTGGGGCCAGATGTGATGAGATCAGGGCTTCAGCTATTCACATATTTCATTATTTATTGTTAAAGATCCATGAAGCCCAGAATGGACTAGTGATCAGGGCAGAGGGTGTATGTTAAAAATCTAACTAAAAAAAAAAGCATCTTGAGGCACATGAACTCTCACATCTAAACATTTTTGGATGCTTTCATAGCCATCTGTAGGGGAAGGATCATTAATTATGCATCAGACAGATAAAAGAGATCATTCTGATACATTTCTTTCTTCACCAGGTATCATTTTACTGCAAAATACTATGGTATATTGATTGAATGATAAAACCAGTTTTTTTAATGGATGTCAGTAAAAGCATACTGTATAAAGAACACAATTATATACTGCAGCAAAAGCCTGAGTTTCTCTTAGTGGTTACTGATAGCTGTATAAATCATAAGATAAATAAAAATATTGATGAATTAGATTTACAATAAATCAACACCAAAACAACCCCCCACTATTGGTGAGTTTTTCTTCTGAGTTGAATGACTGTAAAAATAATATTGACAAACCACTTTCCTACTTAAAAGTTTGAATGTTCAGTTGAGTATTGTTTAGCCTTAAGTTATGAAACTAACACTTAAAAAAAGAGGTATACAAAATTGCTTGTTATGGATAGACAAATTTGCCTTCTGCATTTGTATAGGAAGAGAAAGTGTATTTTATTGAGAATATACATCATACCAGTTAAATTTTGTAACATGTGGAATGAGCACTAGCTTATGAAGAGACATGAAAGACAGTTCTTCCATAGTTTCATATGGGAGACGGATATAATGTAGACTAAATTCCTGTTCTGTTGCTGATCACTGTGTTAGAGGTGTTAGATCAGAGCATAAGCTTAATTTGCCTGATATGAGCCACATAATGATATATTTTTAAAAGGAATTCAGAAGAGCAGAAAGCAAGAAAGCTTTATTATTTGCTTGTTTTCTCTTTAAAACAGTCTTTCAGCTTTGAGAATTGAAATAATACTAAGCATTCAAATGTTAAAATACCACATTTGGCATATGACATTTCTTATTAAGAAGCAGATCTGTGTTTGTAATTTTTCTGTGGTTTGGGGTTTTTCTTAGGGCTGGGTGTGAAATATTAATAATTTGAAATTTTAAAAAAGTTTTCAATAAAAAAGGTATTTTTTTATTCCAACTCTTTGTTACCCATTGAAAAAATAAGCAATTGCAGAAAATATGTAAGGAAAGTTGCTCATTTTCTCTTTGGGTTTCCCTCAACAGTCCAACACTGAGAGATGTATTAATATATTTTTTTTCTATATGAGCTGGGACAATTTCTCTTACTTCACAGTTCTCAGTTTTTTGATACTGTGATTAAATACTGTTACTAGAGTTGCCATTAAGACTGGGGGTTTTCCTTGTGTCATTGTTGTTGGATTTTTTGTTTGTTTCTTTGTTTGGATTTTATGGGGTGTTGTTTGTGGTGTTTTTTCTCTCCTCTGGGGAAATCCCTAGACACAGAAATGACAGAAATGCAAGAAAAAGTACAGTATGCCTAAAGTTACTCTTTGAAATGAAAGGATGAATTAAAATGTAGGTAAATAATAATATAACAAGGAAAATTAATTGTCACATGTATGCACAGAATTATGACTATTTAATATGCATAGGCAGTAAACTTTCTAATAGGTAACTGTGTGTTAATGGCCTTAAATTCAATGTATATGCTGGAGAATCTTAATACACATTAGACATTATGAAGCAAAGTTGAGTCCAACTCTCAAATAAGGAATAAAGGAAATACTGAATAGTTTTTTGCTTAGTAACAGGAGCAGAGTTCCCATGGTAATATATATGTATCCGAAGTGATATTTGTGTAGTCAGCTTTAGTTCTGGCATTTTTAAAACTTTTTGAATACTTACCAGGTAACTACCTGGTCAGCCTTTTAAAGGAGTTTGCTTTGGATGTGACTTCCTATTTAAAAGCCAGCTGAAAAGTAACTGCATTTTGTGGAGTTATCTCTGTTTGTGTTAGAACAGACATTTGCAGTTGAAACATGTAACTGGAGTCTTTAACAACCCCTTATCTGCCCTCGCCTTCAAGATTCATAGTGTCTTTTTGTTATTCTCCTTCTACTCTTCATTTGCATGCTTCCAGTCCACACCTAGTCCTCTTCTTTATCTGTGTTTTCTCAGAAATTTGTGAGTCCCAGCTGTGGCTCCATGCTTTCAGCTCATTTCTGTGACACTTTAGAATTTCTCTCAACTTCTAAATGTTCCAGCCATCCGAGTACCCACTCTGGTCAGTTTGTTCTTTTTATCACCAGCTGCCCCATTTCCTCATTCAGAATTCTGCAGTGCATTTGTCCTGGTGTGAATTATTGCATGTGGCCTGCTTCCTTCATCTCTCTATTACCTAGACATCATTAAAGGCAATACTTGGAGTGCAAGGAAGAGCCCTTCTGCTCTCATTCTGTTGCAGAAAACTGATTGTCAGAAGGAGCAGTTGCAGGAAATAACAATCAGTCTCTACATCAGGGAAGGGAAAGTGGCCTGTGTAACACGCATTTGGAGAACTGGGCTGCCTGGCTCAACAAGGCTTATCCTAGCAGATGTGGAGTATATATATATCTGTATATAAATATTAATATTAATAACATATGAATGGCTCTGCCTACAGACATCTCTGACATCCAATGAATTCTCTGCCAGATGGCAAGTTCCAAGTCAAATTGCAGAGCCTAATGATTGTATATTTTTGACAGAAAATTTATTATGATGTCTTTACACAATAGCATGACCGTGTACCTTCCCCTGATTCCCTGAGAAATAACTGACGTAACTGGTTTCAACTTGCATTCAGCTTCAGATAAAATAGTGGAAAGGGTACCTGTAGGTGATGTGGGAATTGGCTCAGACTGCTGAGGTTACTGTTCAAGCAGGTGATGTCAGCCATGCTTCTGTGTGTTTCCTTCATACTTTGAATATGGGGATGCTGCCCTTTCACAATCTCAGATTTTGTTCGGGAGATTGATATCTGTTACACTGGGAAGATAGGTAAAGAGGTTTAACAATCTTGACATATTCTTCTCATAAAAGCACAAGGTAATTTAAAGGAAGTGATTTACACGGTAAGGAAAGGTTTCAAAATACAGACTTATAATTTAAGTGCATATAAGCTGAACATGAATATTCTGTTTATTTGACAAAAACATAGTAGGTAGATCAATACAGAGCTCAAACAGTTTTTAAAATGTCAATGTGTCTTACAGTATCTGTAAAGTACATACATACATGTAATTAGTTATTTGGAATAAAATTGCCTAAATTCTGATAAATCAAAACTTTAAAATTGTTTAACACCAAGTGTAAGTTTTGAAAATTATTTCTAATATTAATTGTGCAAAGAAAATACATATTGGTAATTTCTTGATTGCCCCAGAAGTCCAGACTTGTTGGTCTGTCAAAATGTGACTGTGTCTGGTGTGACAGCGTAGATAATCGGCACACGGGGCAGGAGTATGTCCAGCATCTTGTTCAGCACTGTGGAAGTCTGCAGTCCAGATGATCAGAGAATGATGGTGACAGTAGATGACACTTGGGTTTTTTCTTTGCACAGGTGGTAAGAAAAGAGTTTGTACTCTTATCTTTGATGTCTGGCAAGTCTTTCTAGGTATGTGGTGGCAGAGTTGTTACTTCCTTTTCACAACTGATTCTCTTAATGTAAAAAGTCTGAAAGACTGTGATGTAATTTGGAAATTGCATTTTGAAGTGAATGTGGTTTAAGTGTGGCCAGCTCTTGCTGAAACAGTATGAAAGAGCTAAGATTCACACGGGAAAATTACTTTTCTTCTCTCCATCCAGATTTGAAATAAACAGTACTCACGGTTACAGCACTTGTGTCCAAAAGTTAAAGTGCTCTGAGAGACTTGGTTTTGAGAGACTTGGCCTCTGTTTCCAAGGGTTTATAGTTCCACCTGTAGATAGAAACAAGAATTTGAGAAAGAATCTCTAAAACATTTTGATACTGCATAGAAGACACCTGCCTAGAAGTATTATTCATGAGAAGCCATTAGAAGCAAATAGAACCCATTTAACAATATCCATCTCCAAAGTAGATTTCATGACAGTGCAAGTCCTGGAACATTCACCTAGGAGCTGACTATTGACTATTGACTACACAGGTGACCTGTTCTCCTGTAAGAACAAACTAAGAATAGCACTAGTGGTTACTCTGATGCATATCATTATCATGTCTCTGATAGTGGCTAATATTTGATGCTAGAGAAGAGTAAAAAAAAAAAAAAATTAAAAAAAGGAAATATGTTCAGACCTTCTGCAGTTCTTCCCAGCTGGCTTGCCTCTTTACTAGCCAGGACAATTTTGTGTCATCATTCCTTACCTTCATATACTGATCATCTCTGGTATGTTGGACCCAAGGGTAGATCACTGGAAGTTTCCAGTGATGACCTTAATTTTGAAAACGGACTACTTTGACTTCTTATACCTGCTTTCTGACTGTTTAAAATTAGTGTTATTTATTTTTATTGTGGAGGTCATCCCTTTTGTCTGGTAGTGATTGAGGATTTTTAGGTTAAGGATGTTGTTGAGTGTTCTTTGGAATCCCAGGAGTCTATATAAATTGGAACTTTTCCTGATCTAAGTGCTTATAACTCTTAAAAAAGACACTTCAGATTTCTGAGATGTTATTTCTTTTTACAGGGGCTATTTTGACTAGTTTTTCCAAGGTTGTCTGCTCACTACTTTTTTTCTAGACAGTAGTTTATACTAATTTTATCAATTCAGATGTCAAGTTTTTTTGGTTTTCAGTTTTACTGGGTCTCACTTGGAACACAAATTAGAATTTCTTCAAGCCATATTGATATTGGAAGAGTGTGGAGGAAATCAGAATGGCTTAGAAAATTTGTGTAGGTAACACTTTTCGAATTACCAACACATTTAAACAAATGCCGACGTAGGCCGTCCTTTGTGAAGTACCAAAGGTTAGAAAGGATAGTCAAGAAAGCAAAGAGTATTTGCTTTGAAGTAGAGCTGTTACCTTTTACACTGCTTAAATAATTTGTCTTTTAGCAGGAAAAGACTTGATAAATCACTTGATGTGATTTCGTGTATTAACATGTAAAGGCAAAGAAGTTCATAGGCAGGATTTTCTGGCACAACCACTTAGGTGAAAATCCTCAAAAACACAATCAAACTTGTATATCTGTAGTAATTAAAATCCTTTTAAAGTCAGAGTTATCTGAAGAGGAGGCATGCACACATAAGGGTTGCTGTGCAAAGGTCAGAAGTTACTGGACTAGAGTGGTGATAATCAGCATCAGACATTTATAGAATTTCTTGTGAAGCCATGTAAGAAGTTCTCACCGGATCTCAAAATCATGCTCTTGGTCAGCATGCTGAAACACATCTTTGGTCAATATTTTTTTGTCAGAACTTTTCCTTTTTTCCCCTTGTCATATGCAAAGTTTTTAGCAAAAGGTAGTGAAGTTGTGAACCCAACTTATATATATGGTGTCTTTTGTGTCAAGGATAATCTCTTTCTTTGCAATTGCTTCTTACTGATTTTGTGAAGTGGACTTCTTTGCATTGGGAAAAATGTAGCACAGTGGCTTTTAATGTTGCAGAAAATTGTTCTACTAGGTCTCTTTATGTTTGTAGACTTCAATGAGCCTTTGAGGTTTGTTTTAGAGGCAATTCATAAAAGTTGAAAGAACAGTAGCTTTGTATTTACACAAAGTGAGTAAAAGGAAATTGAAATATAAGATCAAGGCTAGAAATAAAATTACAGAATGACAAAGACTGGAGAAGAACTGAGGGAGGAAAAAAAAGGAATTGGCGAAAATATATTTTGTTTCTCAGTTCCTATAAAGGTGAATCCAGATGAAATTGCCTAGAAAAGGTAGCTTACTTATGTGATTTATATTCCATATAGCAAACTGTTGCTCTGCTGTCCTCAAGATATAAATATTTGTCACAATAGGTATTCCAAATATATAAAAATCTGTTGGGTTTTCTTTCCCAAAGTCAAATGTGCTTTAACAGTGAGACTTTGTCAAACCTGCATGGCCTCTGTATTTCAGACATCAGCTGATACTCTGCTGGTCAACATCCTTTTGAAATTATGTGTTTGAACTGCTGCTGTGTAGTGCTGAGCACAATAATTTTGTCTGTTAGCGGATGTGAATGTTGTGGGCATGTATTCAGAGGATTGTAAGTGATGTCAGTATGTAGGATATAGATGCTGCATGGTCTGGGAGAGAAGACAAAAGAGAAAGTAAGCAGTTAGTTTCATAATGTTATTTTTCTTAATAGTTTTCAGTTGATATATTGCTTTTCTTGATGCTCACCAATAATCAGGAGGCTGATAAGATAAATTAGTAGTGCAGTTCTGGTCTAACACAAAAGCTGCAAAACTTTGAAAATTCATTTTTCTTAAAACCATGGGGAATTCACCCCAGGACAGGAACACTGGGGAACTGATTATTTGAAATTGTGGAGGAAGCTTTGAAATTTCTTCTTCAAGGAGTTTGTCTTCCAGTGCTGTCAGTCTGTGACTTGTCCACTGACTGTGAACCTGAAGGTGTGTGTTGCTGTGGAAGGGGTGTCAGGCATGTGCCTTTCAGCAGTACTGTAAGCATGGCTGAAGACTCTAAATACTCAGGGTTATGGATTGGTGCAGGGTTTATTTATTTATTTATTTTCCTCGAAATACTCAGGGTTACAGATTGGTTCAGGGTTTATTTTTTTTTTTTCTCAGAAACGTGCTTCTGCTTTTTTTGAGGTTGTGAAATTCATCAGATAATCGGGTTATTTTTCCATGGTCATACAAGGCCTCTTTGATTATTTTGGAAGATCATAATACTTATTTGGGGCAGCAAATGCCTCAATTTTATGTTATGAAAATTTGATGTTTTGGCTCTGAGGCACTGTTATGTTAATGTTGATGCAATTTCAGTTACTGTTCTGTGAGATCTGATGGGGTTTTTTTTACACACTGACTTAAGAAGCATTTTGCTCAGCATTTAATTAAGAGGGAAGACTGTGGACCTCAGAGGCTGTGAATGTGGAAGAGTGAACATGAGTTAAAGATGTGTCATACAAAAGCTAGAAGCTTCAGAGAGGAGCTCACTGATGTCAGACATGCATAGAGTATTTTGTAGACATTGTGGCAGAGGTACTGGAATCCTGAGTTAAAAGCTAGGAGAAAGATTTGAGAATATTTTGTTTAAGTTTTATGTGGGGATATATCTGTGCAATTCCTTTTCCGGTCAGGAATTAAGATGTACATTTTGAAATATGGGGAAAATTAAGATACTATAATTAAGGAGATCTAAACGCTGGGAGCAAATCACAAGCGTTAGGATCCTGTCGGGAAATATCAATAAAGAGTCTATTTCCAACTGAATCCCAAAATTCTCTGTTAAAGGCAGCTGATCTCTCAGCATTAGGGAAGATAAGCAGGACCCACTCCAGGAGGTTTTTTAACTCTTTCTTAGACAAAGTACTGTTGTAGCTATGTAAGAGATGGTTAGGTTGCTTATAGAGATCTCTATCAAGGGCAGAGTGGGATTGTCCCATTTTTTACACCTGTGTAGCTCACCTCGATGTCGCGAAAGCAGGATCCTCTGTCGAGTTCCAACGTACCTTCTGTCGGCACTCAGGACACTGCGGGGGTCCCCTCAGAGCTCCGGATTCAGGTGTCTGACCGGGACAGCTTTTCTGTGCTCGGACCTCCACACTCCCCCTCAGGGCTCCAGCGCGGGCAGTGCTAGGCAGTGCTCTCTGCACTCTCTGCACGTGGCGGTGTGCCACAGGGCTCCTCACAGAGCTCGGGGTCACTGCTGCTCTGCAGCGTTCCCTGTGCTCAAGGCAGAAATCTTCCAAGAGCTCCGAAAGCTCACTAGTCACGAGCTGCGGTGCTCGAGAATAGATTGCCTCAGCAAATCTTTAAAGAGCTTTGGCTTCAACGTTGCCTAGCAACGAAATGCCGTGCTCATGACAACGATGAGGAGGCTACCACAGGTAATTTAGTTACCCTGCATGGAGAGGTGTCCCACAGGTAGAAAGGCTGGAGCCATTCTCACAGATGTGTGGAGTCATTTTCCTTGTTGGGTGCCAGCCTGTGACACAGCACGTGGCCGGGCTTGAGAGGGTGGGGGAGGGGAGAGACAAAAGGATGCTCAAGGAAAGGGGAAGCTCCAAGAGAGGAGGAAGTTCCAAAAGACCGTCCGGCCCCTCAAAGCCCCCTTTTCAAGGGGCTTCAAGGTGGGCTGGAACAAGGCTCGGGTCAATGGGGTTACTGGCACTTGATGTTTTAGGGGAGGGATAGAGGTGCGGGGAACCATACATCTTTTGGGGGATGGAACAGTCCATTTGACCCCAGGATCCATCCGTAGGCAGGGGCGTTGTCCAGCTAGCTGGGAGAACTGTTCTCATCCTGGCTGTATTATTTATGGATAATCATGTTTATCTACCTTCTGCAACAAGGAGATGGACTGAAAAAAACCCCAAACTGATTACATTATTTCTGTATAAAGACAGCTCTATAGCCTAGTTCTCATTTCAGTATTTTTAATGCAATTTTAAAAATACATCTATGTACTTATAAATATCACACAGAATTTTGTTTTATCAATTACGTAAGTGTTACTCCATACCAGTTCTCCCTCTTGCTCACAGTAACATTCAGAATGAATGAATTACTGTAGGTAAAATAAAGGAAAAATGTAACCTCCCCCTCAGGATCATTTGCCAAAAATATATCACAGTAAGTTCTTACTGTAGCTGTACAAGGAAGAGTTTGCAAGTTCAAACATGCATTAGCAGCCTTTCTCAGTGGGAGATCTAGCCTTAGTTTCAGCAAAACTATTCCTTTAAATAATCTCTTTAATTTGTGATATTATCTGGCAAGTTAGTGATAAATTTTGCATTTTTTCATTAGTTTTTGAGTTGTCTAAATGTCTAAAATTGAAATGCCTTGTAAAAATCAATAGCCATACTCAAATTCTTCATCTTGTTACTGGAATATATGTTAGTATCCAGTAATGTGGGTTCTCACAGCCTTCATGGAATTGGTAGAGTAATACCTTGTACAAAATTTAGTTGTCTTCATCATCCTGAAAAGCAAGGTATCGTTTCCTCTGGGGTTAATTAAAGATGCTTACGTGTAAGAAAAATTCAGTGTTTAAACTGCAATTTCCCATGAGAAGAACTGAAGCTTAAAATGCCAATTACAATGGAAAGGTGGTAAAACAGGGAATGTAAATTATAGTTTATTAGATTAGATAATTGTCTCTGCTCATAGTTTTAGCTAAATATTTACAAAGAATCTTTCATTCACAGTAGGGCTCATAAGACAAAGATTTCACTGTTTACATGAAAAGCCATAGTAAGGAGGAAAATAACATTTTGTGTAGCTACCAGATAATTGTGTCTGCCTCCGAAAGAAGAAACTGTGTGAAAGAATGGAAAAGGAGTTACTCCTTCCTGATAGTGATAAATTAAAAAGCCATTTCCATCTTATAAGATCTCTTGAAAATGTCGAAAGAAGAGTATTTCAAGGTGTTTGTAACAAATGCAGGCAAACATTATTATGAGTGCCTTTTGACCTCTTCATTGTTTCTCATGATTTGCAACAAAAAAGGCAAGCTTTGAGTACAGAATATAGGACTTCTTTGGATGGGGACTCATAAGAAAGCTGAAGAGTCAAAGAATATAGAACCTGTACTTATGCATATGCCAAACTGGAACCATTTTGTATTTCACTATGAATTTTTGTTAATCTTGTTAATTGAATTTTGGATATGACAGAATCACAGAATTGTTAGGGTTGGAAGGTACCTCTAGAGATCATCCAAGTCCAACCCTCCCAGCCAAGGCAAGCTCACCTAGAACAGAGCACAGGAACATGCCTAGGTGGGTTTTGAGTATCTCCAGACAGGGAAATTTCACCACCTCCCTGGCAGACTGTTGTAGTGCTCTGCCACCCTCAATGTCAACAAGTTCTTCCTTGTATTGAGATGGAATTTCTTGTGTTTTGTTCTATGGCCATTGCTCTTCATCCTGTTGGTGGCACCACTGAAAAGAGTCTAGCACCATCCTCTTCACACATGTCTTTGAGATATTTATATGCATTAAAGAGATCCTTCCCAGGCTTTTCTTCTTCAGACTGAACGAGCCCAGCTCCCTCAGTGTCTCCTCATGATATTCCAGACCCCACATTTTCTTTGTGGCCTCTGTTGGATGCTCTCCGGTAGCTCCTTGTTTTTCTTGAACTCTGGAGCCCAGAAAGGAGCACAGCATTCCAGGGGTGGCCTCACAATGGCTGAGTAGAGGGGCAGGATCATCTCCCTCAACCTGCTGGCCACCAGATGCACCTCAGGATGTTAATTTGCTTGACTTCAAAGTACAAATAGTTTAGTCTTCACCTGTCCACTAGGAGGTTGAATTTCATGGGTGATGCAGGGAATGAAAGTAAGACTTGAGACCAAACTGAAGTAAAACATGAATATTTTTCCTTCTGCTTTAAATAAAATGCAATGACAATTGTACATGCAATGGTCTTTGCCCAGTGTGACACTTAAAGGAAAGGACCATGTTGTTGGCTGTGTTTCTTGGTTTGTCAAGCTCACAAAAGTAGCCCAGACAGTTTGCTGACCTCAGATGGACCTTTAAGTCTCTGACTTGTCAGACAAGAAGGGCAGCACTCTTAATTGGCATTCAGATCACAGGCAGGCACTGGGCTCAGTGCATAGCCAAGTACTGCTTTAGGATTTAGACAAAGCCACTCTGGCAAAACATCCTAGTTGTCAGGGTAGCTGGCTGTTTCCTAAAGAACTGTTACATAATGGAGAGACTGAGAAAAGCTTTAGGATGCAAATTTTTTTTAAAGTAAAAATTAAAAAAAAAAAAGGGAATAAAGAAAGTGGCGGTAATTTGTGAAAAGAAACATCCCCCCTCTCCTCGGATGATCTCATTCATTGTTTCTTCCTTCTGTTTAACTTCTCAGGGTCATAAATGTAGTTTGCTGTTTAAAACCGTAGTGATGTCACTGCAAAGGTATTTTGTGGAAGTGGGGAAGGGAATTATCTGGAAGTATTTGGGAATCAACACTTAGAGATTTATTAGCCTTACCAGAGGTCAGCTATTTGCATTTCTTCTTCTTTGTACTTAGTGTAATGTAAACTGGGAATTCAGCTATAGAGTGAGTGTTTACATTTGAGACATCCCGTGGAACAGAAGCGAACGTTGTGTTTATTGCTACAGCTGCCTTCTCCAGTGAAATCGTGATCTAAAGTCTCGCTGGTCCCAGGCCAGATTTCCAACCTGCCCCCTGTGCTGATCCCCTACACAGTGCCAGGGTTTGACACTCCCTGGTACTGTTTCTCCCTGCAGCCTCCAGAATGACATCAGCCCCAAGAGTTGCTCCCAAAGCCACTCACAGCTCCTTCCCGTGCTGGGAACGGGAGAGAAGAGGAGGAACTGCTTTGCGCTGCCTTGGGGCTGTGACAGTGAGCACCACAAAGAGAGTGGCTAGAAAGGGTACTGTGGTCAGAGTGGTACAGGGTATCTGATCTCCATCACAATATGCTTACTCTGCCATAGGTGTTTTGTTGTAAGCAAATTTTGTATATACCACCTTAGCTGTAAATGTATTACAGTGTTTTAGTTATTACATGGCCCTATTTAACAAAATACTTTTGAAAGTGTACTTATTTAAAATATTAGGCAAGCAGTGCGCTCCTTGTTAAACAACAAAGCAGTTGGTTGGAGTACTGTCACCCCACCCACTGAAGAAGGATTTCACAGAGTATGTATGTTTTCTGTAAGCTTATGATCTTTTGATGTTTTGGGGATTATTTTTTTCCAGGAAATTAGGATGAACGTCAAATATGGAGGCAGCCGGGGAACACAACATACTGCACATGTTCTTGTAGGGAGAATATATTCTTTCTAGAAGCTTGGTCTGTGAGGAAGGATGCTGTTAGGTGTTTGTGCTGTCTTTACAGAAACACTTAAATGTGACTAACTTAATTTCTTACCAAGACACTAAATTGCATTTGCTAGCTAGTTTGTAAACAACACTTTCCCCATTGCAGTAAATAATTAAAAGTAGTGAAAGACAATGAAAGATCAGTTTGGGAAGTCTGAACCAATGGAAATATAGTTAACAATATCAATTACCATGCCCAAAACATGTTGGCAGTAGCCATAACTCAAATCTCCTATGGCTATGAAGGCATGCCAAAGTAGCCTGCCACTATTCCTGTTCCTCTAGCTGTGTTTCATGTGGTTTGTTGGTGCCCATGGGCAGGGTAGTTCACTGGTCCCAGTTGCCAGTCCTGTCTAAACAGTTACAGCTGCAGTGTTTGATCTGAATGCTGTGTTGTCCACACCAGGTTGTTTCTGGCAGACTTTTTAGTTGCTCCTTTGTTCACTGCTAGTTATTTCTGAACCTGGGGGCTCTCTGGCTGCTCCCATTAGCTAGGCCTTTTAGCTTGCTCTGTCACCCAGTCTGTGAGCTGCAGCTCCTCTGTTGCTTTGTATCTCCTATCATATCAGCCCTAAATGTTTGATTTTTACAATAGACAGTCATGTACTCAGTCTATATGGAGCTCTTGACACAAAAGAGGGGCTTTCTGAAAAGAAACTTTCCTTTTCTTACCGACAATTAAATTCTGATGTAATGAAAACTTTTGGATAAAGTTTTTCGCACAAAGCTTACAGGCTACAACTGTGGGCTACTTAATTTGGACAATGTTGAACACTGTTCGATTCCTCATGCTTTTTCTGATAAATACCATAATTTATCTGGCATTTTAAGTTACTTCTCTTAAACAGAAAGACTTAATAATATGAGAAATAGACACAAGGGCTGTGTAGGTGTGATATTTTGGCTCGTGCTAGTCACCTTTTCATTCCTGATGGATGGTAGCTAACAAAATACTTATAGAGTCCTGAAAG